TGCACTGACAGGTGGTGCCCCCTAGACCTAATAGAGCAGCTAGGAGGTCACGGGGACAATTATTATTATTATTAGTGAAGTCACAGGGGTATGGCCAAACTGTTCTGGTTTTCTCCCCATCTCCCTCTCTTGCAAAGCTACTGTGAACTTTGAAGATTTGCATTTTTACAAATACTTAGTGCCTGACTAAGCTATGTGCTATGGTGATAGTTATGAGATACAAAACAATCCACACACGCACACATACTTAGGGTGGTATTCAAGTCATGACCGACTCTGGGGTTGCAGCGCTCATCTCGCTTTATTGGCCGAGGGAGCTGGCATATAGCTTCCGGGTCATGTGGCCAGCATGACTAAGCCACTTCTGGTGAACCAGAGCAGCACACGGAAACACCGTTTACCTTCCCGCCGGAGCGGTACCTATTTATCTACTTGCACTTTGACGTGCTTTCGAACTGCTAGGTTGGCAGGAGCAGGGACCGAGCAACGGGAGCTCACCCCGTCGCGGGGATTCGAACCTCCGACCTTCTGATCGGCAAGTCCTAGGCTCTGTGGTTTAAACCACAGCCCCACCCGCATCCCGAATGACTCAGTAGGGCCATTAATTTAAACAGGCTACCTATGAGCCAGTGTGGTGTAGTGGTTAAGAGCAGTGGACTCATAATCTGGTGAACCGGGTTTGCTTCCCCGCTCCTCCACATGCAGCTGCTGGGTGACCTTGGGCTAGTCACACTTCTCTGAAGTCTCTCAGCCCCACTCACCTCACAGAGTGTTTGTTGTGGGGGAGGAAGGGAAAGGAGATTGTTAGCCACTTTGAGACTCCCTAGGGTAGTGATAAAGCGGGATACCAAATCCAAACTCCTCCTATATTGTGCTCTGATCATCATCTTAATGGTAATGATAACAAAGGATTCGTGCAACAATCCTGAGTTGAATGAGAATGATATTTTGAGACGAGGATAAGGATGGGATAACAAAAGCATTCAGCAAAATAGTATACTCCTGCAACGATGATGATAACCATGATGATGTTGATGAGACTGGTAACATCAACACATCCTCCAAAGTAAATGAGGAACTGAGCAACACATGCTGCCCAATTTGCCTCGTGTCTCAGGTTCTGCAAATGTTAAAAACTTGCTTAATTGCTCAATCTTTTTAAAGAAATCTGGGAATCATGGTTCATCAGAAGGGGGCAGCCTTATTGCCCCCTCTCGATGTCCATGCTCTATAGCTGCCCCTGAATACTGGTTTCTGCCACTGTCCTGAACCATCCATAGTCTTGGTGCTGAAGGATTCCCTGTCCTTCACACTTCTCTGTCTCCTTTACGATGGCACCATCTCCTTCAGGTGATAGTTCTAAGCTAAGTTATTGCTGAGGAAAGAAGAAGAAGAAGAGTTTGGATTTGATATCCCGCCTTTCACTCCCCTTCAGGAGTCTCAAAGCGGCTAAAATTCTCCTTTCCCTTCCTCCCCCACAACAAACACTCTGTGAGGTGAGTGGGGCTGAGAGACTTCAAAGAAATGTGACTGGCCCAAGGTCACCCAGCAGCTGCATGTGGAGGAGCGGAGACGCGAACCCGGTTCCCCAGATTACGAGACTACCGCTCTTAACCACTACACCACACTGGCTGTAGGGTGATTTGTTTGAAATGCCTAGAGCTGAATGCACTCTGGCCATTAGACAATTTGACCCTGTGGCTTCCACTGGTCCTTGTGGTGAATTAGTAGCCCAGATACACCATGATGATAGTCAAGGAAGAGAGAGAGAGAGAGAGAGAGAGAGAGAGAAAGGAAGGAAGGAAGGAAGGAAGGAAGGAAGGAAGAACCATCTCCTTCAGACTGTCGTAATACCAAGAGAAATTGCAATTTCTGAGTCAACATGAAAACGAGACAGCACTATGGCAAAAATGACTGGAAAGATCAGAAACCAGGAAGACCAATACTTCAATAAGGAATGGGGGAAATTTATAGTTTATCTTGGAGACCACTGTAAACAGTTTAAATCATTAGCAGGATTGCAATAATACTTGTAATGTAACAAGAACTATAGATATAAGGGAGATTTAAAAACCAGATTACCATAAAAGATGCAGTAGAAACGGACTAATAATGGAACCCTCAGAGGGGTGGAGGGAAATCAAAAGATTCATGGGAATCTTTTTTCTGTTTTGATTGTGATGTGTGGTATGAGTGTAAATTTTAATTTGTAAAACCATATATATATATATATATATATATATATATATATATATATATATGTCAGCGCTAGGTAAGTATCAATTAATAATATTCAAAATAAGGTTTAATGAACATACACGTTAATATTCACAATTAAGATCACAGACCCATATACATGCTCATCATATATGATATGGAGAAGTTTAACCACACACACATACAAAACAAAACAAAACAAAGCAAACCAGAAAACGAACATATTTTTTTTACATGGCCACTATCATACTTGAATCTATGCCTATTCCAAGACGCCCTGTGTGATGTCAAAATTTGGTGCCTCCTGCCTCTGATGTTTCCATTCTACATCATAGTTGCAGTGCCCCTGAGGCTCTGTGCCCAGTGTAACTGAACCGGTCACACTCCCCTAAATCCATCTCGGCTCATCCCACAGCCAGAAACAGAGAACGGCCTACAATTTAGGCATTGGGAATCTGCAGCTCTTCAAATGTTACTGGACTCCAGTTCTCCCAGCCTCAGTTAGCAGGGTCCATGGCTGGTGATTATGAGAGTTGTAGCCAACAACATCTAACTTCACTCATCCTTAACCGTTGACTTAGTTGGTTGGAGCTGGTTCCCCACTTCTTCAACCCATTCATATAGATATATATTTCCAGCCCAGTGGATGAAGGACCTTCCCTGGAACCCGAAATGTTCTACATCCTAAAGTGTTTATCCATACCTTTACAGCTACATTCCCTGCTCCTCATAGTACAGTGGTACCTTTGGTTACAAACTTAATTCATTCCAGAAGTCTGTTCTTAACCCAAAACTGTTCTTAACTAGAGGCGTGCTTTCACTAATGGGGCCTCTTGCTGCCGGCGCACGATTTCCGTTCTCATCCTGGGGCAAAGTTCGCAACACAGAGCAACTACTTCTGGGTTAGTGGTGTTTGTAACCTGAAACGTTTGTAACCCGAGGTACCACTGTAACCTCCAGCATTTTGTGAACAAAACAGGGATCCAGAGCGGGTAAAAACGTAGTGGAGAATTGATACCTACTAGAGATGGGTGGGAACGAACTACTCGATCTAAACTTAGAGAAACTCATGCTTAATTTGATGTATTACAACAATAGTTGATTGAGGGGGTAAATGAAGAAATTACCATTGAAGACTTTCGGAGACTGAGGCGGTCCGATCTGGCTCTGAAATAGGCCTCATCGAACGACGAGTGGCTTCCCTTCAGCTTCTCTGAGAGGTTCCGATAGAGTCGCTTAGCAGCGTTGGGAGAAGACGGGGGATTGTTCTTTTTCGACTGGGAAAGCTGTAGGCTCTGCATTTGCTGAGTCATATTTCACGCGACAGTTTCTGCGCAGAAAGCCGGTACGGCTCTAGAACCGGGATATATATGGGGTTGAACTTGCTGAGTCAAGTCATTAGAAATATATGGAAATTCTCCGTGAAATCACCAGATTCTGCAATCAGAAGGGAAAAAAGAAATGAGGCAAAAATTATTTCCTTTTAAACATTTCGTTGGTGTTTCTATGTAAAATATTTGATCAGGATTCATTTAGAGACGGTTTGAGAGTAAACGTGGGAGTTCATAGACCTCATTGGTGAGTGACCTGATCTTCCAGGAGCACTTGCGACAGAAAGCAAGAGGAGGCTGATGCCAATTGAGCAACCATCATTTTTTAAAGTGGCTTGAGAAAGGAACAATGGTTCAGTGGTAGCACACATGCTTGAAAGAATTAGCTAGCTGGTAATAGAGTAGACAGTACAGTAAAGTATACTTCTTCCAGTACACTGGAAGAAGCAAAGATCACCAGTGTCAAAGCAATGATTCTTCAACATCAACTTCATTGAACTGGTCATGTTGTGCGGATGCCTGATGATCATCTTCCAAAGCAACTACTCTATTCTAAACTTAAAAGTGGAAAGCGTAATGTTGGTGGTCAACAAAAGAGGTTCAAAGACTCTCTCAAGGCAAATCTTTAAAAATGTAGTATAAACACCAACAACTGGGAAACGCTGGTCTGCGAGAGCTCCAACTGGAGAACAGCCTTGACCAAAGGTGTCATGGGCTTTGAAGATGCTCGAACTCAGGACGCAAGGGAGAAACGTGCTAAGAGGAAGACATGCTTGGCAAATCCACACCATGATCAACTCCTGCCCAGAAATGAATGTCCCCACTGTGGAAGGACATGTGGATCCAGAATTGGCCTCCACAGTCACTTACGGACTCATTGTTCAAACCATGTTTATGGAAGACAATCATACTTGGCTACGAGTGATCACCAAAGAAGAAGAGAGTAGATAGTATAGGTCAGAACAGACAGCCCAATACTCTGATCTGATTAGACAGTTCCTTTGTGTTTCAAATGACTTACACTGTCTGCAGCCTTCTAACAACAAATGGCAAAACCACACTGGTTTTTTTTTTTAATGCTTGAACACATACCGTACAAATTTATTGATTGATTTATTAAATTTGTATACGGCCCTTCATCTGAAGATCACAGGGCAGTACACAACATATGTGTACAGGGTAGTACACAACATATATGTACAGGGCAGTACACAACATATGCGTACATGAAACAAAAGCCATTTCTGGGGAAGGGTGGGCATTACTAAAATCAAACAAACTCAAAATAACACATTAGGATTTTACTTACTTGTTCATTTTTATTTTTGCAGGCAATTGCAAAGTAGCAATATTTATACTCTTAGATGAAGTGGAATAACTTGGGCCTACAATTTCGAAATGAGCAGTGAAAGGTTACTACACAATTGTTGCCATTGCTGAAGTCCCGGGACATCAGAAGAAGAAATTTGGTTGGTGGGGGCATAGGAGGGAAGGGGTCAGCTCTGCCCCATAGATTTCTGAAAGAGAAATAAGGGGATATTTCACAGTAGTACTCTCATTCTAAATGGAGGTCATCTGAAGGATGTCTTATAAACTTTGATGGAATTAGCTTTCAAGTAGAAAACCTCAGGGTTGCAGCTCAACTTTACTGCCCATCTAATTATTCAGTTATAATCTATACATGAATATTGTGTTTCCTTGAAATAACCGCAATGAATGGGTGGGTGGAGGATAGGCTGCATGTCTGGGTTGGTGGAGGCAACTTGCCCACCTTACTTCCTCTGGTACAGCCTATGAAATCCCCAGCCATGCTTTGGATAATAGCCACTTAAGGAACTCTAGCATTTTTCTCACTGAACACTTCTCCCTCACTATCGAAGCAGATTGCTTCACTTTGCTCTTAATTGGTCTTTTAGCACCAACCAATCAGTTCCCTAATTTCACAAATTTCTCCTCTTATCTGCTGTGATTGGCGTGGGGGCAGCAGAGGGGAAGGGCAGCGAAACAGGCATTTCAGACGTGAATTGGGTCTGGTCGCAAATAGCCTCACACATTTCCTAGGTTAATGAAGTATTGTAAACAGATGGGTCCCCTAAATGACGAACATATGGCGAGAGGGCCAATAATTGGGGTATACAATGAGGACAGTGCCTCGTTAAATCCAATTGACAGTGTCTCCAAAGAGAATTTTCTAAAAGATGCTTCTGCAGTAAGATTAGATGGAAGAGAGAGGTTTTTTGTGTGCGTGAGGTGGGGGATTTAACAGTTTTCTAGGACTCCAGTACTAAGTTATTCTTGGCTTGTTACTTAGACAGCGCAAAGCATTGGAAAGGAATCATTTCAATTCCATTTTTCTAAATTGAATTCTACAGGCTATGAAATATGTGCATGTGTGTATATTTGCTTGTTTCCCTTATTTTCTGCTAATCAAAAGCCTATAGAGCAGTGATGGCCAAATTTGGCCCTCCAGCAGTTTTGGGACTACAACTCCCATCATCAATAGCTAACAGGACCAGTGGTAAGGGATGATGGGAATTGTAGTCCCAAAACAGCTGGAGGGGCAAGTTTGGCCATCACTGCTATAGAGGCACTGAGGCTCCACTGCGGCCACTGGTAATCTTGTTTTCCTTGCGTGGCATTGCTTAACTTTACAATCTTGAGGACTAGAAACTTACTTTTAAACAGAGAAAGCACCGACACTTGAGGATGATGAATTCTACAGTAAAAGTTTTTGGGGGAGGGGCACTTTTCATGGTAGTGGACACTGGGGCTCTACAGGTGTGCCCAGCTAAGGCTACATTGTGTTTCTGACTTCCCAGTACCACATGCAGCTGCGGTACAGGCACAGGGTTAGAAGCATCTGTTTGGCTGTGCCATTGTGCCAACATCCCTGCTCCCTTGCCCCTCCCTCCCTTGGCAGCCAGCAGTGGCACACAGCATTGGAAAGCCAAGAGAGCAATGCTCCACCCATGCCAGCAGCTACCGCTTGTGAAAGTACAGTCACAAAACGCACACAGTTCCTCTACAAGAGGCAAACATATTAGACAGCTGAAAATGTCTGCCTTAGTTGTGGTGAACCAATTATCCTGGCACGGTCAGGAAAGGTATTGTGGGAAAGCTGAGAGGGGTTAGGAAAATAACAGCTGTGTTTGGGGAGCCTGTGAACTTTTGCTTGGGGGAGAGAAAACCTACAAAATGCCCACTAGCACAAGGATAAGGTAAAAGGTAAAGGGACCCCTGACCATTAGGTCCAGTCGTGGTCGACTCTGGGGTGGCGGCGCTCATCTCGCTTTATTGGCCGAGGGAGCCGGCGTACAGCTTCCGGGTCATGTGGCCAGCATGACTAAGCCGCTTCTGGTGAACCAGAGCAGTGCACGGAAACGCCGTTTACCTTCCCGCTGGAGCGGTACCTATTTATCTATTTGCACTTTGATTTGCTTTCGAACTGCTAGGTTGGCAGGAGCTGGGACTGAGCAACAGGAGCCCACCCCGTCGCAGGATTCGAACCGCCAACCTTCTGATCGGCAAGTCCTAGGCTCTGTGGTTTAACCCACAGCGCCACCCGTGTCCAGCACAAGGATAGATGTGTGTATACTTTTAAGAGCATCTCCCATATCAAGTTTTGGACCAGAGGTGCCGAGTTGCACCCAATATCGGTGCTTCCACATTACGGGTGAGCTAAGAGGTGTGCCATGTGATGTTGGGGGCAGTCTAGCAGGGCAACTCTGCTCCTCCTCTAACCACATGGTGGCCCTTCACAATCTGAAGAACTCTTACAAAATAAAGAAAAGCTTTTATATAAAATGTAAAATTTGTTATTAGAGTGGGAAACAAAAGACGAGCTTGTCAAAGCCTCTATGACACAAATCAGTCCCCTGACAAAATCCATCTATTTAGTAGGAAGTTGAAAAGTGTCCCTGGATTCATTGAAAAAAATCTGGTAACCTTAATTTACAGCATGTTATTCCTTGAAGGAGAACTATCTGAAAATGATTTACAGATAGTATCTAACTCCGAGTAGACTTGCTAAGACGCATAAGGCAGAATCAGATAAGTGTTGGAGATGTAATGAGACTGAGGGTACATGTTATCATATGTGGTGGACCTGTGAAAGGGTAAAAGAGTATTGGGAAATAATTCATAATGAATTGAAAAAAATGTTTAAAAGTACTTTTCCAAAAACAAACAAATGCAGAGCCCTTTTAGTTGGGGATAATTCAGATGGACATTCCCAGGTGTCAGGAAAGGTTATTTATGTATGCCACTACTGCGGCTTGTGTTTTGTTATCCCAAAAATGGAAAATGAGTGAGGTCCCAACCAAAGAAGAAAGGCAACTTAAACTGACAGAATATGCACAGCTTGAGGACCTAACATATAGAATAAGAGAAGAACAACATACATTTAAAGAAGATGTTTATTGAATATATGGAGGAGAATTGTGTGCATTTGAAAACGTAGGCAGCATTAAGATAAATTCAACAGTGTAAATAAGTTTTGACAGGTGTCATAATGGAACACTGAATGGTTTAGTTTATATAAAATATGCAGGGATTTATGTTAGGCAAAATAAACCATGGAAAGAAAAGGAGGGAAGTCATTGATATTTTGAGGTTGTTTAAATGAATATTCTAAAACGTAAAACAGAAAATTTAATAAAAAAAAGGTCCATATAGTTAAAGCTATGGTTTTCCCAGTAGTGATGTATGGAAGTGAGAGCTGGACCATAAAGAAAGCCAAAGAATTGATGGTTTTGAATTATGGTGCTGGAGGAGACTCTTGAGAGTCCCATGGACTGCAAGAAGATCAAACCTATCCATTCTTAAGGAAATCAGCTCTGAGTGCTCACTGGAAGGGCAGATCCTGAAGCTGAGACTCCAATACTTTGGCCACCTCATGAGAAGAGAAGACTCCCTGGAAAAGACCCTGATGTTGGGAAAGATTGAGGTCACAAGGAGAAGGGGACAACAGAGGACGAGATGGTTGGACAGTGTTCTCGAAGCTACCAGCATGAGTCTGACCAAACTGCGGGAGGCAGTGGAAGACAGGAGTGCCTGGCGTGCTCTGGTCCATGGGGTCATGAAGAGTCGGACACGACTAAACGACAATGACAATAGAAGGAAAAAAACTACATGGGGCCCCTTCACACAAACAATGCCTGAACCGGGCAGCCATCTCCTTGCTGTCTGCTGTATCTTCTAGACCCTTTCCCCCTATCTTCTCATTATGCTCAACTGCCATCAAAATTCTGTGAGTTCACAGGTTCCTGTCAGGCGGGGTTTGCTTGTGCGTTTTCATACATATCATTTCCTGCATACCAAGGGCCTCCCTCAAGCATGTAGAAGAAACTGATTTTATTTCACTTCCAAACTGATAGGTGCTCAACCACCCAAGTTTGAAGGAACTGTGGGTTGTCAGAGCATTGCTAATTAATAGCATTCCGTGCATTTTAACTGCAAATTTGCCTGTTTTATAACCATTACTTGAGGCACCCAAGCAAACCTTGACTTAATGTCCGTATTAATGTGGAATTCATTGACATGTTTATAATACTTACAAGTTATTCAGTTTTGTTCATGGGAAGGGAGACACACCATCTGACTGCAGGATATTTCGGGTTGACTTATAAACACCGCGACACACCTGAACAGGCTTTGCAACTCACTTATGGGTCAGGACCCACAGGTTGGGAAATGAAGTCCCATTGCAGTCAAGTGCGAATCCTCTAACATCACTTGTGTGTGGACTAAGGGCTATTCTTTTGGTTTTGCCAATCTCAGCTTTAACTTAGATGAGATTCAGAGGGTGTTGAAACATGCTTGAATATGGCAGCAGGTTGTATGACAACCTAATTCAGACTGAAAATATATTCTCTCTTTTACAGTGGTACCTCTGGTTACGAACTTAATTCGTTCTGGAGGTCCGTTCTTAACCTGAAACCGTTCTTAACCTGAGGTACCACTTTAGCAAATGGGGCCTCCCGCTGCTGACGCGCCACCACCACCGGATTTCTGTTCTCATCCTGGGGCAAAGTTCTTAACTCGAGGTACTACTTCTGGGATAGCGGAGTCTGTAACCCGAAGTGTTTGTAACCCGAGGTGTTTGTAACTCGAGGTACCACTGTATTTACCTTTGCAAAATCCCAGAGGGCTTGTGTTATGATTCTGAACATTTGAAGCTGGCATCCATGAAAAGGGTGTGTGTGTGTGTGCGCGCGCTCATGTCAAAAGAACAATGGCAAGAAGAGCAATTTCCAAAACTGAATCTTAGCAGAGACTTGAAAGTTGTAAGGTAATGTACGTTTTGTTTTGTTTCTAAAAACCTGCTACTTCTTCAGATGCCTAGACCACATCCTTGACACATGACTCTCTTGTCCAGAACTGTCCCGTGATAGAGAACATTCATTGTCAGTCAGTGGACTAGAATCAATGGTCTGGGTCAGTGTAAATCTACTTCCTATGTTCTTTAAGGATGTGTGTCAGCATCAACAGGCATCTCAGAAGTAATCATTAAGAGGCCTCCATAGGTCTATGATTCCATTATGGGAAGTGTTTTCATAACATGAGAAGTTGAATTAGATATTGTAAAAGGCACACAAAGGCACTACATACTCTCACTGGAAAGTGCCCAGCCTTGAACTCAAAGCTCACAAAAACCCAAACACCTGAAAGGCTGCATTAGCAGCGTTTCTTTATTTGGAATGACACATCATAGCACACTCAACCAAGATGCAGTGGAGGAATGGAGAAATTTCTGAGACAACAATGGGATATCAGCTCCACCCAAGGCATGATGGATAACAGCAACAACCGGGGGAAAGAAAGACATAACATTTTACAAGGACAGGCAGAAACACTACAGACCGAATAATTGCCACACACAGGAAGAACAAGGTTATAGTTTGAGTTCCTCACTTGTAGTTTTATAAATTACTTAATGTGTCAACACGAATAGATGTTCTTAATATTGCAGTTATTGTATAAGGGATTATTATTATGACCGGAGTGTAATAGCAGTTAATAAGATTTTGGAATGCAGAAATAAAGCAAATAATCAAGCTATCAATTCTAGCACATGGGGAGCCCACCTTATCTAAATTATATAATTCAGAATTTGAACTATTGGTATTAACAATTGTATTATAAATTGGTATTGCTATAATGAGGCTATCATTGGATTGCAATGGAAAACTAATAAAAATTATTATTATATATAAAACAAGATATCCCATTGAAAAGAAACACATACACACACACACACACACACAGAGAGAGAGAGAGAGAGAGAGAGAGAGAGAGAGAGAATTTTAACACACCCTTTCCCCATATATACTAATTTCTGTACAATTTTCGGGGTGGAGAACAAAATTCAGAGAAACATGAATTTCAAAGCATTGTTGCATCTCAGTTCACAAATTGTTTCAGGAAGAGTAAATCGGGATGGTCGGCATTAAAACGTGAACTGAAGCAAATGGTACCCCCATCCCTAGCTTAGTCCCCTGTAAGAATGTAGCATGCCAGCTGGGGTATAGGATAGCCAATCAGAATGAAGAAAGAGAGGGAAAGGAAGTGACTTCTCCAAGAATGGGGAATAAAACTGTGTTGTCTTGAGCTACATCCCAGAACCTCCAGGCTTGGCAGGGGTAGGGTGGCAGAATGGACAAAACCAAGATGTTGCCCTTGGACACCCAACGGGGTGGACTATGGTAATCTTTCATAATATGGCACCCTGTGTGAGACCAAAAGTTGGTGCCCCCCAATGGATCTTCTCAATTATGGATCTTCTCAATTTTATGCCCCTTCAGCTCAGCACCCTGTGCGGGGGAACCGCCCGCACTGCCCTAAATCTGGCATGGCACCCACTTGATTTTCCTTGCTCTAAAACAACTCTTTCCCCATAATTACTCACCAAGAAGCTAGGAGAATCTGCAACTCAGCTGCTGGTCTCTTTTGATTATTTAAGAAAAGAATCGAGTGTGGGAAGGTGTGAGAGTGGCAGTGAGACAGAAGAACATGCTGAAGGGTTCAGGGCTGCCTGGTTTAATTTCTATGGGAATATTGCCTTCTTCACAGACTTTTGGGAGGTTTCTACGGCAGTGTACATGCCACACATTTAAAGCATCCTAGGAGCTGGAGCTTACCCCTCACTGATCTATAGTTCCTAGCAACTTCAAAAATTGTTATTCCCAGGATTCTTGGGGGAAAGTCGTGTCCTTTAAATGTGCTTTGCATTTGTGGTGTGTTAGGTTACAACCCCCCCAACAACCCCTCCATATGGCAGCTGTGTTATACTATATGGGATTGCCACTATTCCAGAGGGATCTCTCCTCCCATCACTAAACGGCCTTGGCCCAGAATACCTGAAGGAGCGTCTCCACCCCCATCGTTCTGCCCGGATACTGAGGGCCTTCTGTTGGTTCCCTCATTGCGAGAAGCAAAGCTACAAGGAACCAGGCAGAGGGCCTTCTCGGTAGTGGCGCCCAACCTGTGGAACGCCCTCCCATCAGATGTCAAGGAAATAAACAAGTACCTGACATTTAGAAGACATCTGAAGGCAGCCCTGTTCAGGGAGGTTTTTAATGTGTGACATTTTAATGTATTTTTAATCTTTGTTGGAAGCCGCCCAGAGTGGCTGGGGAAACCCAGCCAGATGGGTGGAGTATAAATATTAAATTGTTCTTGTTGTTTTTATTGATATTTGGGACTTTAGATGTTGGTGTAGAGGTCCTCCACAGGATGGCCATGATCTCAGGTGGGGTAACAGGAAGCTGGTGCATGGAGGGGGACCTGTTTCAAGTGACAGGTGAAAGTCTGCCTTCAAGGGGCTCTGGGAGGTTTGGGAGCCCCGCCACTTCAGGGAATGAGCCATAGGGCAGTTGGTTTCATCCTTCCGTAGCTGTGTTCTTAGGCCGAAAGAAAATGAATGCCTTCCTTTCTATAAACACCCGCTTGGTTTTGAAAACTGGCAACAACAATTCTGTTGGGACTGTAGAACAAAAAAGGAAGTATATTCTGGCCTCGATCATCAGCTAGGCATCCAAGTGTCCTTATCTCCTAGGATGAACATTGCAGCAAGGTGAAGACCAGTCTGTCCTCATCCATCATAGATAGCTCAGTTGGTGGAAGATGAGACTCTTAATCTCAAGGTTGTGGGTTCGAGCCCCACCTTGGCCAAAAGATTCCTGCATTGCAGGGAGTTGGACGAAATGACCCTCATGGTCCCTTCCAACTCTACAGTTCTATGATCAGCCAAGGAACGAGCAGTCACTACTGCAGAGAACTTGTTCCCCACCACCCACCAGATGGATCACTCAGCTCCAATCACCTGTTGCTTTGGGACAATAGAAGGAAAGGCAAGCATACTCTGGTCCCATTCATAAGCAGGGAGATCCAAGGGCTGAAGAGCTATGAGAGATTTCTCTCTAGATTCACAGCCTGCTGCGAATCCCCTTGAGAATCATGCGATTGAAGGGTTTAAATAAATATCAAATAACAAACAATGCAGGAAATTGCTTGCCTGGTAATGCCATGGGACAGCTCCTATTGAATCCCCTGTGGAGATGGAGTTCATGTATCTCACTCTGGTGAGGAAGAGCATGCATTGACAGAGCATCTGCTTTGCATGCAGAAGGTCCCAGGTTTGAACATCAGCATCTCCAGGTAAGGGCTGGGAATGCCATCTATCTGAAGCCCTGGGGAGTCACTGACAGTCAGTGTAGGCAAAGCCTACCAATAGGCGTGCTTGATATAAGGAAGCTTCCTATATGTCACTCATGCTTCCTCAATCTGCACGTGTAGCAATGGTGCCCCAAACCCTTAAGCTTCATGCTCAATGGTGCTTTTGTTGCAATGTCTCAGAGTGTCAGGGTCAGGCTGGATGAGCTGGGAGCCACCAGCCCAAGAGTCCCACAGGGAGGGATCGGACTGGCTGGATGAAGAAGACTGGTGGGAGCCTGCCTCCCAAGAGCCCCCCAGAGAGGGCTCCGAAGATGACACCTTAGAGCCCAGAACCTGGTGGTGGGACACTGAGTAGCAGTCAGTAGATGGGACAAGCTGGGAACTGATAGATACAGAAGACTTGAGTGATCAAGAGGGGTCAGGAGAAGGAGGGCCTTCAAGAACAGGATTAGCTGAGAGTCACAGCATGTGCACAGTCACAGTCCTGCTGACTCCCCTTGCCCTCTGACTCTACACTCAAGGAGGGTCCTGCACATTGCTGAGCAACGCGTCAGACAGGCCCAGAGGAGAAGCTCACCCCCTCAAAGCAGCCTTCGTCTGCTTGGGAGGGATCCAGAGTGAGAGGCTACAGGGGAAGGGCATGCCTGGAACTTAGTTTCAGCAATGCCTTCATTGGGTTAAGACAAAGCAAGGACATTGCTGTGTTGTTTTTTCTGCTGATAAAAAGCTAATTGCATCCTGTGCCTTCCGTGTGTGTGCCTGCCCTGTGGATGACAGTACTTGTTGACAGCTCCTTGACACAGCGGCACCACTTGTCGCCACTTCTCTCTTCCCTGAAACTGTCCCCAGAGACTCCTCCACCTCCTCCTTGCCTTTGTCCCCAACTGCTGCTGCTTCTTAAGGACGTAAGGAGAGTCCTTCTGGATCAGGACAAAGACCCACCTAGTCCAGCATTTTGTACTCACAATGGCCAACTAGATGCCCCTATGCTATGGGAAACCTGCAAGCGGAACCTGGGCTCTTGCAACTTCTGATACCCAGTGCCTCGTACTCAGAGACATACAGCCGCCTGCCTTTCTCTGCTGACAAACCCGCTGCAGCTTCCTTCTCTTGCTCGGTGTGCTGCAATCATTAGAGTGTCAGGCTAGGGCCTTGGAGACTCTAGTTCAAATCCCAACTCAGTCTTGAGGCTCTCTGGGTGGCATCTCTCAGCCTTACCTACCTCGGAGGGTTGTTGGGAGTAAATAATTGAGAGCCCTGATAGAACCACATAACAATAAGCAAACATAGATAGCTCGGTTGGTAAGAGCATGGTGCTGATAATGTCAAGGTTGCAGGCAGTGGCAGAGCTTCATGCTCCAGCACTGGGGGATGGAGAACAGGCGGGTGTGGGGCTGGTGCACATCCCAGGGGCATGGTGCGCCACCTGCAGGGGTGTGATGTGGGTCCTGGGGGTGTGGCACCCAGCGCAGGCAAGAGGGCAGCCACAATGACACCCCACCGGGATTGCGCTGCCGGGGGTGGTGTACTCCCCCTGCACTCCTCTTCCTCTGCCAGTGGTTGCAGGTTCGACCATCATCTGGGACAGCTGCGTATTCCAGCATTACAGGGGGTCGGACCAGATGAGGCTCAGGTTCCCCTCTAACTCTACTGTTCTATGATTCTATACACAGAAGAACATTCCACTTCCAGCTACAGTGGATGCTTAGGTTGCAAACGTGTTCTGTGCGGGATGCACGTTCACAACCCGCAGCATTCACAACCCATGTCTGTGCGTCTGCGCACACGTGGGTTGCGATTTGGCACTTCTGCGTATGCGCAAAGCGCTATTTAGCGCTTCTGCACATGCGTGGCCGCCGAAACCCAGAAGTAACCCATTCCGGTACTTCCGGGTTTCGGCGGTCCGCAACCCAAAAAAAGGCAACCTGAAGCGGCTGTAACCCGAGGTATGACTGTACTCCTGAACCATCCAGGATTCTCACAGGGCTTCACCAGCCACACCTGTGCCATGGCTCCCCATGTTCTGTGTAACATGCACCACAGCTGCTTGCTGGAGCTGAAACCTGGATGGAATTCTTTGCAAAAGCTGGCCGTAGCTGACGCTAGGTGGTGCAGCAAGTGCGTACACCGGAGGACTCTCATCTCCGGGGACCTCGGATAACAGCCAGCTTGGGTCACAGCGTAAATGAGGTGATGTGGGCACAGCCCCCTAGCCGCTCCTCATGCCTGTTCCATTGCTTCATGGTCCTCAGTGCCGTTTATCCAAGCCGCTCAAGTGATCAAATCGCGGGGGCATCTGCAGAACGCAGCAGGAGGGCATGCATTCTGGTTGCTCGTATGCTAATTGCATTTAGCCGCTTGGCTCCCTTGGTGCCTTTCCCCTTTTGTCAAGAATTAATGTCACGGTGGCAATAAAGGGGTGATAATGAGTGTAAATAATCCAGTAACTTGCCGACCGCACAAACCTTACACTTCCAGGAAGGGGAGGGAGGAGAAACAGCCCACACTGCATTCTGCAGTTCCCAACATTATTACTGTACTTGCGCACATATCTGTAATTCTCCTGATACTCATACATGTCATTAATCATAAAGCATGTGCCTGGGGCATCAGTCAGCCCTACACAGCATTGCATGTCAACAGCAATGTGCTTCTTCGTGTAGATTTATTATACAAGGATGCATTTGCAGGAGGTGTAAGCTTAAACCCTAACCTTTGACACCCCTCTGTCTTCCACGCAATGAACGTCGGAGGCAGTTTTCTAACTCAAGATTAAGGAGGGGAATTCCTAAATGTCATGCCTGTCCCAATTGACATAGGTTTGTAGCGGTCCTATATATACATACGCCTACAGTTCCACGGTACAACTCAAGTGGGCACACGGGACAGCGAGCTTCTTAGTGAGGTTCCCGGAAGCTGCATGCACAACAGGTAGGAAAACATTGCAACAACATTTCTACAAGGTCCATCTATCTGCCAGCTGTTTTCTCCCCTCCCCATAAGCTATAAGATGTGCATGTTAGAGAATTAAATTTCACTCACCAGTTGAGGAGGAGGAGGCTGAAGAGAAGCAAGTTCGTGCCAATTGTCCACTAATTTCATTCAATACATTGGTTTCTTTTGAGTGTTGCTGTGTGCTGAAGCTTCCAGGCAGAAAGAGAGGGAGAGAGAGAGAGAAAGAGAGTGAAGCTCTTCCCTATACTGAGCGAATGATTAATATATAAATATATATATATATATACATTCACCATCAGCAGGGGCTGAAGTTGAACATCAGTACTGTAAAAAGCTTTATGCAAAACGTAAAGCACGCAAAAGAACAGAGAGGAGGGCTAGCAGCAAAATGAGGCAATATCCAAATAAACAGAATTGAATTCTTTAACACTTTCTGCCCTCTTGGCACTGTAGCTAATATACCCGCTTTTCAGAGTCTTGTTTTGTGTTGTCAAGGAAGCCTCTGGCTATATGATGCGATCTGCTGTTATCCTGTTGTGTCTCTCAGAACTGATCAGACCAGCGAAGAAGGAGAGAGAGAAAGAGAGAGAGAAATTGCCCAGAGTAAACAAAAACCAGAATGGTAAGCAACTGTCACTCTGGCTGATCAAACAGGTAATAATAGAGCAGCCATTTAAACAACAACCACAATTAGTTTTATGTGGAATCCCTAAGAGGGTAAGAACTCTGAGCCCATCACTTGGTCCAGCAGTTTATGGTCACATCTGATGAAGTGGTCTCTCATTTGCCCCACTTCCGGGTCCACAGCCTGCAATTGCAGCAACAAAGCAACAGCTACATCCATAGCTCTGGGACACCTGCAAGATAATGGGAAAGAATCCCAGCCAGCACTGAACAGGTTAGCACCCCAAAGGTTATGAAATCTGCCCACACGCAAACCAAAACATTGCAGCTCCAATTAAGCTGTAGCAAATCCTAGCACACATCTTTTGCAGTGCCTTGAACTATGTGATAAAAAAGGCATTCGTAAAATGTGCAGTTTGAAAGAGGCTTGTGGTGTTGTGGTGTGTTGTTGTTGCTTTTTTGATGGACTCTCCTAGGGTTTCAAAAGTACCGTACGCTAAAAATACAGCTATGTGTTTTATCTAAGATAAAAATGACTGAACGCCATACTATACAGTCCTGGTTCGTTTCAGCCAACCGTAAGAGTCCTGTTAAGCACCTAGCAACAGAATAAAATTAAGAGAGTCTTTAGGACATTCATTGCAGATCCTGCCATTTTCAATCGTCTGCAACATTGTTTTATAATGCTCCTGTGTATTTTCTGGGAGTTCGGTTATGCAAGGCAACCAATGGGCTCATCCGCTATGTGGAATCATTTAGAGAAGTGCTGAGATCCTACGAATTGCTGAGCAACCCCTTTCTCTTTAGTTTTCAGCATCTTCTGGAACGCCTACGGGCAAACACTTAATATTACTTAATGGGGGCTAAGCATTCCTTAATCCACATCATTAACCATCATGTCAAATGTCCTATTCAAGGTGTTTAAAGAGGGAGAAAGAGGAGCTTTCAAGGAACACTGATGACTATATTGGAGATCTGCAGTGTGAGCATAGAATCCAGGTGGTGGCAGCTTACGCCAGACTAATTCATGCAACATTTAAGTAGGCAGCCTTGCATATAGGCAGAGCTGGTGATGATAATGCAGTCTGTCATTATACAGGCTGGTTTGACAGGACAAGTAGGCACTTCAGAATCTCTGGACTGTGGCTGTATGAAATCTGGATGCTTTAGGTAACAGGAAACGCTACCCATGACGGCTGCAATTCTAACCCTGAATACCCTGGAATAAGTCCCCTGAAATTCAGTAGGACCAACTTCTGAGAAGGCAATGATTACTGCAATGTGTTATTCGTAGGGCTGCCTCTGAAGATGGTTCGGAAACTTCAGCTGGTGCAGAATTCAGTGGCCAGGTTGCTCACCGGGGCAAGACAGTTTGAGCATATTACACCAATCCTGGTCTGACTGAACTGGCTACCAGTGAGTTTCCGGGCCCAATTCAAAGTGCTGGTTTTGACCTAGAAAGCCTTAAAGGGCTCAGGACCGCAATACCTCAAGGACCGCCTCTTTCCATATGAACCTACCCAGACCCAGAGATCATCTTCTGAGGCCCTTCTTCGCGTGCCTCCTCCTCAAGAGGTTCGGAGGGTGGCAACACAAGAACAGGGCCTTCTCTGCAGTGGCTCCCTGTTTGTGGAAGGTCTCCCTAGGGAAGTTCCCTGGCACCTTCATAATACACCTTTAGGCGCCAGGCAAAAACATTCCTTTTTAACCAGGCATTTGATTGATCTGATTTACATCCTATGCCCTTTTAGAATGTGGTTTTTGGGGGGAGGGTATTGGGTTGCTGTTTTTACTTCTATTAGGTATTGTATGGTTTTATATCTTAATTTTATTATGTGAACTGTCCTGAGACCCCTGGGTATAGGGCTCTATATAAATTCAATCAATCAAGGCATGGTCAGCCTTGTACCATAATCTCTTCCACCTCTCTTGCCTGCCTTCTCTATCAATCATCCAACTCTGCCCGACTCCCATAACCTGAAAGTTTCTACACAACCCACCACCCAAGCTCTAGATTTATTTATCCCCTAAGAGTTAAATTATTCAGGAATAACTTATTCATGGCCATTTATCTGCTGCCTCTTATCAGTGTCCAGACATCCTGCTTCACACGTTGCCCTGGTGATATAGTTGTCCCCAAGGTACCTGAGAAGCTTTTTATGTTAGAGGTTCCCTGGGAGAGGAGACATGAGTGAGAGGCAATTGCCTCTCGGGTAGTACCTCGGGTTACATACGCTTCAGGTTACATACACTTCAGGTTACACACTCCACTAACCCATAAATAGTGCTTCAGGTTAAGAACTTTGCTTCAGGATAAGAACAGAAATCGTGCTCCGGCAGCGCGGCGGCAGCGGGAGGCCCCATTAGCTAAAGTGGTGCTTCAGGTTAAGAACAGTTTTAGGTTAAGAACGGACCTCCGGAATGAATTAAGTACTTAACCCGAGGTACCACTGTATAACTCTATCTAGGGTCATGCACATGAGATATGGCTGAACAACCAGCTTCTTCCGAGTTTCAGAAGGAAGCAAACAAACAACCCCCGAGTCTCTTCACAAAAGTGATCTCCTTGTGTGAGTTGTGTAACTGAGCATAGTATCAATGGCTCTGTTTCTGTGAAAATAAAATCGGTCGCATTTAATGGAAGCAGATGTGTTATCTTGCATAAATGAGTTGGAGGCACCCACTTATTCTGGTAACTTAAGTAGATCACTTGCATAAGCAGGGTTTTCCCTCTTCAGATGCCCACGAGCTAATAATTGAGGCTGGTGGGCAAACTCTGCAAGCAAAAAGGAAATGTTTTCTGCTTACAGCTTGCTTGCTTGCTTATCTATTATCATTTTTATTACCCAGAGCACTTTGCATTTTACAAAAGTTGCACATGGGGCAAAGTCCTCTGCTGTTCTTGGAATCCCATCTAAGTTGCTATGAAATGAAGAAATGACAATGGTCAGGAAATGGGGCTAGCTTGACAACTTTGACCAAAACTCAAAAAAGACAACCCTACTTTAAATCAGAACAAGTGGAGGTGGTGAATGTCCTGTGTGAGGGTCTAGAGGCAGTTGGAGGATGGATGGTGGTTAATGGATTGAGGTTGAATCCTGACAAGACAGGAGTACAGTGGTACCTCAGGTTACAGACGTTTCAGGTTACAGACTCTGCTAACCCAGAAATAGTACCTGGGTTAAGAGCTTTGCTTCAGGATGAGAACAGAAATCACGCGGCAGTGGCGCAGCGGCGGCGGGAGGCCCCATTAGCTAAAGTGGTGCTTCAGGTTAAGAACAGTTTCAGGTTAAGAACAGACCCCCCAGAATGAATTAAGTTCTTAACCCGAGGTACCACTGTACTGTTTTATGGGGACAGGGGACCTGCGGTTGTGGGGGGCTCCCTGGTCCTGAATGCAGTAAAAACAACAAGGTAAAGGACCCCTGGACAGTTAAGTCCAGTCAAAGGCGACTATGGGGTTGTGGCACTCATCTTGCTTTCAGGCCAAGGGAGCCGGTGTTTGTCCACAGCTTTCTGAGTCATGACTAAACAGTTTCTGGTGCAACAGAACACTGTGATGGAAACCAGAGTGCACAGAAACGCTGTTTACCTTCCTGCCACAGCGGTACCTATTTATCTACTTGCACTGGTGTGCTTTCGAACTGCTAGGTTGGCAGGAGCAGGGACAGAGCAACGGGTGCTCAAACAGGGATTCAAAATGCCAACCTTCTGATCAGCAAGCTCAAGACACAGGATGTGGGTGGCGCTGTGATCTAAACCACTGAGCCTGAATGCGTAACTGCTATAACTATGTTGCTATTATTTGTAGGCCTGATTCACAAATGTGGGCACATAATTTCCTTTCCACAGTTGATTACTAGACGTTTAACATTACCGGGCTGTTGAATGCACGAACTGATTCTGTTGCAAGACGTGTCTAAGCAGCTATCACCAAGACATCAACATTGCACACGTGAATATCCCTTATTCAATGTCACATGAGACGCGTGGGCAAAGTGTCGCAATTTAATTACTAACGTTCGAGCCACAATAAATGATCCTGATGTTATCTTACTGAATGCTCATTTGAAACACACGCCACATGGTGCAGCTACAGGCACTCCCTGGAACAAGGGCTGCTAATGTGTAAGGCCTTTGCAACCGGGTTAATAGATATTTGCAATAGTAGTGAGCAACTTAGCTGGCTTAATTAAAGAAAGGACTTTTGTTTCACTGTTAGGAACTCATTTCCTCCTAGGTCAGGATTTGGTGCTTTTTCAGCTATCACTCAACCCTCCGCTGTACTTAATAGTCTCCGTTTGGGAAAACATATTAAATGTTACTGAAAGAAAATTACTTGAAGGGGAGACAAAAAAAACCCACCACCCAGTTTCCCGTATACACATTTATATACGTCTATGTACACAATACATTGTTCATTTATCTGTATCTATCTATTAATCTAGTTTTATGTCTCTCTCTTTCCCAACCCACTCTCCAAATAGTGGAAAATTTAGGGAAGCCCTAAAAAGACTAGTTTCTCCTCCTTTTCAGAAGGAAGCATGGTACTTTCATAACCGGC